GATCTTTGGTAGTGGTTGTGGCAAATGGTGTAAGGGGACAACTTAGGTTTCCACCGACAGTGTTTCGAGATGGCTGCGAATTGGTGGGCGAAAGTGATGATTTTGGCATTATGCCATAGACGATGGACAATCGATGTAGACTCAACGGATAATAGTTAAACATAGAGGATGTAAAATGAGAGAGTTGGGTAAGAAAAGACACTTGGGAGAGATTTGAGTACATGGACATTAGATTGGGAAACCCCAATGAACAAAAGTTAAAACAAATGGTATGAAATTAGAGAATCGGGTAATAGGAGGTTCTCCAAATTTTAGAGATTTAGGAGAAGTATATGTGAGTTAACAAAACCAAACAAATAAAGGTTGCCCACCTACACTTGGATGAGTTTGGAGGCGACTAATGAATAGTAAGGTCAATGAACTTGCATAAGGTAGAAGGGTCGTTGAATAGATTACATGACGCTATTGTTTCAATTTGTATGGCTAGTAGTTGATCCTCCTCTAACATCTGCAGAATGAAACACATTCTCTGAATCTTTTCAAGAAGTATTTAAAATAAATAGTTGAGTGTTTAGCTGAAAAACTATTAAAATTACTTTATAATATAAGAGGTATTGTAAATTGACTAAAAACAATTTCTAACATAAAATATGAATACAAATTCAAAAAATAAAAAGTATTTAAAATGCATCACATTAGATTTATTTCATATTAAATAGTACTATTTTTTCAACTTATTTTTTTATAATGATCAAAATGAAAGAAAATTATGTTTTTTAGAAAAAAAAAAAATATGGTAAGTACAATTTTGTATTTTCAAATTGGAGCTTCTGCTTATAAGTTACAAAAAAATGTCAGCTTTTTAAAAAGCAAAACTTTAGAGGTGTTTGGCTTGAGTTCAACTTTTGAAACATAAAAATTCTAAAATCCGGGCCAAACATAGTCGTACTCTTTCGGATTTTTTGTTTGTTTGAGGTAATCGTGGTTCTCGTCAATGCAGTCAAAATCGCACTTTAAAACTTAAAAGCTTACGATTTTACGCTTCTAGGTCACAAAAACGCTCTCGTTTTCACATTAAAACTTTAGTGCATAAAATCATACTAAAATACACTTTAAAGCTTAAGAGTTTACGCCTTTACGCTTCTAGTTCACCAAAATGCTTTATGCTTTTAGTTCACTAAATGGGCATTCTTTTCATGTAATTAATTATAAAAAGTATATTTTAAAGGTAAATTACCAACAATAAGATACATTTGAGATTAAGGGCTTGTTTGCTTAATGGATTTGAAAAATGAAGGTTTTGGTTAAAACCTGGGTTTTACAAAACCATGGATATATGATGGAATTACCCAATTTGGTTTTTGGTACAAACCATCGTTTGCTTGTTGGATTTCATGATGGATTTGACATTATTATATTTGTGGTTGTATTAGGAATTTATCTTAGTGCCCTTATTGAGTATTATATATATTTACATTATAATTTTTGTTTAAAACAAGTCTCATCTAATAGGTTCGTCCCACTACCACAATCGGAATAAATGAACATCATTAATCAATAACAGCATCATATTATACACACAATTATATCAGACAATTCCTTAAGATTTTCAATATTACAAAGTATGCTTTGCGATTAATCACGTAGTGCTTTCATGCAATGAATAATAATAATAATAATAATAATAATAATAATAATAATAATAATAATATTGGATGCAAAATTAATATGCACTTCAAGTTGGTAATTAGTAATGAAAGAGGATGAGTATTTGATTAGTGAGGGGTCGTTTGCTTCATGGATTTCAAAATGAGGGTTTTATAATTTAAAAACCCAAGGATTTATCAAGGATTTGAGGCATCATGGATTTGTAACAATCCTTTGTTTGTTGGGATGTTTTTATCATGGATTTAAAGGTGTGAGATTTACTACTTGAAGTCAAAAATTACATTACTGCCCTTTTCTATATGTTTGACATGTTTATGATATGTACACAAAACAAGGACAAAACTTCAAAATTACCTTACTATCATTTTCTATATGTTTGACATGTTTATGATATGTACACAAAACAAGGACAATACATACTTATAAGCATAATGTTGCCACATGGACAATAATAATAAACGAGAAAATTCCGTTTTAACTTTTAACGTAACATAATCAATTACCAATTCTTTATCCTCCTTTTCAAAAGTAACATATAACAACATATATTAGAATCGGGAGAACAAAGAATTACACGTTCCATGAAAAGGTCAAAGAAAACTAGAACACAAGAAATGATATAAAAAATCTAACTCATGTTTGCACATTAATTGAACATTTATATTATTCATTTATTGTTAATTATAATGTATAATAGTTAAATTTGAGGGCAACCTTGGAATATTAAAAGTGCATGAGGGTATATGGGTAAAATCTCATCAAGGATTTATGCCATATTCCAAATGCCACATCAACATGTGGGATTTATAAGTCCGTGGGGTCCACGGATTTGGACCCTTAAAATCCGTGGGCCCCACAGATTTGGTCTCCAAAAAAGGAGCAAGCAAACAACGGATTGTACCTAAATCCTTGATAGTTGATTTTTTGGTACCAAATCCATGTACCAAATCCTTGAAGCAAACGACCCCTGAAATAAGTAGGGTTAAAATTGTAAAAAATCATCATGGACTTTGTACCCCAACACAAATCCCACCTCTTGGGGTGGAATTCTCAAGTTTGTGGGGTCCACGGATTTGGACCCTCAAAGTCCATGGGGCCCACTGATTTATTCCTCCTAAATCCATCAAGCAAACAACGGATTGTGTACAAAGTCCATGATGCTTGGTTTTTAAGTACCAAATCCATGATCAATTCCATGAAACAAACGCGGCCTAAAAGATACATTTCAGGTACTTGATGCATTCTCAGTTTCAATAGGATCTTCCCAAATTCATTAGCATAGAGGGGAAGGTGACTTATTGTTATTATTTAGAGTTCAATTATCATTCTCAGCGAAAAGGAAAATGAGAAATAAAAAAACATTAAAGGATACAAAACTCGCTTTCAATCTAAAATTGGTAAAAAAACATGTTCAACTTGCTTTGACCATTTTTTTAACAAATTAACACTTGGTCCAACCTGCCAACTACAAAATGCGATAAAGCTCGGACACAATAGAACACTCGTCAATACCTTAGATTCGGGTTCACTTGTCTTCTCAACCAAAAGAAAAAAAGTGAAATTTATAAATACTAAAGTCGTCAAGTCGATTTGACCGGATCGAATTAGGCTGGATACCCATTGATTTGGGTTCAATTGTGATCATGCTCAACAAAAAGGAAAAAGTGAGAAAAAAACACTAAAGCGGACGAAACTCGATCACGATACAAAATTTGCCAACATTGAGTAGATCTGTATGGATATTTGGTAGCGGCATAGGGAAACGGTGGAGGGGGACAACTTAGGATTCTGTTGACACTGTTTTAAGAAGGTTGTGAATTGGTGAGCAATGTTCAGGATTGGATAGAGCATATCTAGTATGGATCTTTGGTCGTGATGATGGCCAATGATGGAACAGGACAACTCAGGATTCCACCGACAGTGTTTCGAGTTGGTTTGCGAATGGTGCGAAAGGCGATGATTTGGGTTCAAGTTAGGATACCCAACAAAAAGGAAAAGGAGAAAGAAAAAACAGTAAAGATGATGGAACTCGGTCCCGATACAAAACTCGTGGCAAAGGCCTTTGGAAACGGTGGTGGGGAACAACTTAGGATTCCGCCGACAGTATTTCAAGATGGGCTACGAAAGGGTGGGAAAAGGAGATGATTTGTGCAAAAAGTCATAGATGAAAACCTAGTGGTTAGTTGCTGCAATAGGGAGTTGAAAGCCTAGTTGGAAATAATTGTTATGGGAAACACAATGGACAATACATGTAAACCTAGCGAACAATAACTAAACACAAAAGTTGTAGAAAGGAGAGTGGGGTAAAAGAAGGACTTGAAACTTCCCCACTTGCATTTGGAGGAGTGTGAGAGCCACTAGTAAATAGTAACTCCAATGTTAGGCTTTTATATATTAAAATTTTGAGAAGGTTGTGAATTGGTGAGAGATGTTGAGGATTGGACAGAGCATATCTAGTACGGATTTTGGTCGCGACCATGGCCAACGGTGGAAGAGGACAACTCAGGATTCCACCAACAGTGTTTCGAGTTGGGTTGCGAATGGTGCGAAAAGGCGATGATTTGGGTTCAAATTAGGATACCCAACAATAAGGAAAAAGAGAAAGAAAAAACACTAAAGAGGATGAAACTCGGTCCTGATACAAAACTCGTGGTAAAGGCCTTTGGAAATGGTGGTGGGCAACAACTAAGGATTCCGTCGACAGTATTTCGAGATGGGCTGCGAAATGGTGGGCAATGTCGATGATTTTTGCAAAAAGCCATAAACGAAAACCTAGTGGATAGTTCCCGCAATAGGGAGCTGAAAACCTAGTAGGCAATAATTGTAATGCAAAACAAATGGACAATATATTTCAAAGTAACGAATAATAGCTAAACACAAAGGTTGTAAAATGGAGAGTAGGGTAAAAAAAGAACTCGGAACTTCCCCACTTACATTTGAAGGAGTGTGAGAGCCACTAATTAATAGTAACTCCAATTTTAGACTTTTATATGTTAATTGTTGTTTTGAGACATTTGAAGGGTCGGGACAAGTAATGAGTCACTGGATAAAATTAGTTAATGAATATGTTAGTTACTTAATTTCCCCTTTTTCTCCTTGCCACTAGCATTTGGTTTTTATTCTCTCTAGTTTCTCCCTATACCTTTCCTTTCCTTTCTTTTCCTGATATGTCTTCCTTTGCCCAGCTCTGATCTGGATGATTTCCTACCTCCTCTCACGAGATGAATCCAATCCTCCTAGTTACAAACAATTGGAGAAGTTTTAGTTCCACTTTACCACATCCCATCTATTTATTCTCTATTAACCACAGTAATTTAGTGCCAACTGCAAACATGCCCAAGAAGATCAGAAGGACTGCAAAAATTGAAGTCTGTATGCCGCACAAACAGAGAACGAAATTTACAGCAACACTGGTGGATACAAGTCTGTTCAAGCCTCCATTACTCCATACTAGATACACCGAGCTACCACATAAAAGGAAGAAGAAATTGAAAGTGGCTGGGGCAGATTCTAGTCATCTCAAACCACATCTTGAGCCCCTAAGAAGCCCTGCCAATATATTTACTCCTTGTCAATTCAAAATTACTAATGGTAGATATGGAAGCAAAGAGAAGGGAGATGATGGAAATGGCTATAAGAAGAACACAAGCGATGCTCATATGATATCTGATATAAAAAAACCCCAACCAAAAATCTACTCCTCCTTACTATGCTCCCTCTTAACTAGCCTGCAAACCATGGATGTCAACGAACTGATCAATCAAGCGGAGGATTGGGATCTGGAAATGATTCCAGATGAAACAAGGGTGGCGAATAGAAACAGCCTCATCGGGAAGGTGCTATCTGAAAGACAGGTCAATGAACTCTCCATGAGAGGAATGATCCGAGCCGCTTGGTTAGAAAGCTTCAAACCAAAGATCAATGAGATGCCCAGAATTAAGGAAGTTGACAAGAATACCTTCATTCTCGATTTTGACACCAAAGTGGAGATGGAAGCAATTTGGGAGGATCTCCCTTGCCTCCTGTCAGGCACCTTGCTCCAGCTCAAAAGATGGACTGGATCTGACAATGCTGCAGAAATCAACTTCAATAATGCTGAATTTTGGATCCAAGTCCATAACCTACCAGAAGTGTTTCGAACAGAAGGTAATATTTCCATGGTCAAATCTATGTTTAACTGTGTCATTGACCTGGACAGATCAGCTCTGGATGCTCAGCTCTATAAAAGATTCGCGAGAGTGTTTGTGGAAGCCAACACAAAAAAACCACTTCTTGATGGATTCTACCTGAGGCATCAGCAAAAAAGAATCTGGGTAGCGTTCAAATATGAGCGGCTGATGAACCTCTGCTACCTCTGTGGGAAGATTAACCATTCCAAGCAAGAATGTGAGATCAGAGGATCCGGTGCCGGTGCTGCCCACAACCTACCAAGCGTTCAGAGGTGGGGGCCCTGGACTAGGGCGAACACGAAAATGATGTCACCCAGATCGGTGCAACAACACGAGGCTGATCTGCGCATCAATAGAGACGCATCTTCAACCTCAAACTCCCCCGGCGGGCAACCTTTCCAGACTCCTCCGACAAACAGTGAACGAGTGGGGCCAACTTTAGGATTCTCGCCTCTCATAAATCAAATCCCTCTCTTTGTCTCATCTCAAAACTTCCCGTTCCAAACGGATCTCTCACCCCCTACTGTCTACATCTCTCCCCATCAGAACAATCCCTCTCCTCTTTTTCAAAATCAAACCCAATTCCCTACTTTTTCTCAAACCTCGAAAGTCTCCAGAAACCTCTTTGAAGCAGCCCATCCAAGCCCAACAAAACTGTTGCTTCTCGATATCACCCATCCAAGAAAAATGAATTTAGCCCAATTGTTCAAAACAAGAAGATAAAGGCGGGTAACAACAATGAAGAAGTTGTCGAATTTGCAGGCCATAGAAGAACAGAGGTGATTGGAGAACCTGTTGAGGAAAAGGATACGATGGAGGCTGAAGAAGATGAGGAATCCCCACCCGGCTTTGGACCTGGTGCAGCTAAGGTAATGGTGGCTGAAACCAAGCCACCCGAGAATCCATGAGTTATATTACGTGGAACTGTAGGGGATTCGGACAAGAACCTACTGTTCGTCAGCTTTGGAAGATGGTTAATCGGCATCGACCAACAGTTGTATTCTTGTAAGAGATAAAGAAGAAAGACTCTTATTTGGAGAAAAAAGAAGATGCTTACGATTTGCAGAGCACCATTGTGTGTCACCTGTAGCGAGGGTAGGGCAGGGGGGGTTAGCATTATGGTGGGTGCAGGGTCTGCCTCTCCATGTTTTGGACTATGATAGTTTCTTTATTGATGTATTTGTAGATTTAGATGGGGGCTTCTATGTTACGTTTGTTCATTCTCCTTCTACTCCCGTTGTTCGAAGGGAGTTCTGGGATAGGATTAGTAGACTCAGAAACAATGTGGAAGATAGATGGCTAATTATGGGGGACATGAATGCTATCCTATACATGGAGGAGAAGAAGGGTGGAGGAGCCCTCAAAAACTACTCTGCAACCCCTTTTAAAGACTTTATTGAAGAGAATGCACTACTTGATATTGGCTATAATGGGTACCCCTTGACCTGGGTGAACAATCAGGAGAATCAAGGAAGAATTGAGGAAAGGTTGGACAGAGTGCTTTGCTCTGCCTCTTGGAGAACTCTATATAGTGATGCTGCTTTGTTTCATGAGCTGAAACTGGAATCAGACCATTGTCCTCTAAGGCTGCAATTCCAGGCAAATAGAGATCGGAATAGATGTCCTTTCCGGTTCGATGCACGCTGGTTGCAAAGAGAAGAATGATATGAAATAGTTAACCGCAGTTGGAATATTGGGGCCTCGTGCGAGGAAAAATTTATGAATTGTGAAAAGGAGCTGAAAGTTTGGGCTAAACAAGTTTACAGGGATCAAACTAAAAGAGCCAATGATATCCAAAGTAGACTGAATGAAATACTTGAGCTTCAACGCGATCACTCGCTCATTCATGAAGAAAAGGAACTTATGACGGAGCTTGCAGCTATTTGGAAAGATGAAGAACTATTTTGGAGTCAACGCTCAAGAGTCAATTGGCTGAAGGAAGGGGATCAGAATTATAACTTCTTCCATACCTCAACCATTCATCACAAACAAAGGAACAAAATTGCTTCCCTCAAAGATGAACATGGTAACATCATCAATAAGCAGGAAGAGATTGCTAGCCATGTTTCAAATCATTTTCACTCCCACTTCACCAAATCTATTCCAACACTGGACACCTCTATCTTTAACGATTTTCCCAAGATGGGTACAGATGAAATGAACCAGGACTTATGCAAAGCCCCTTCCGAGGAAGAAATCAAATATGCAGTTTTCGATCTTGGACAGAATAAATCCCCAGGACCTGATGGCTTTGCTGGACTCTTCATCCGCAAATTCTGGACGAAAATTAAAGATGATTTATGTAGAGAAATTCTGGATTTCTTCTCATTCTCCATTATGCCAGATGGGTGGAACAAAACTCACATTGCACTCATCCCTAAAGTGCAATCTTCGGAATCCGTGGGTCAAAGGGGTTGACTAAGGGATAATATGATCGTGTTGGCCAACTTTTGGGTTGTGGACTAAACCTATGCCTCCATCTTCCTCTCTAGAAAAAACGTGAATGCTACACATCATGTAAAGGGGGATCTATCACACAAGAACGAAACGAACAACACAAGTCTCACATGGCTACCTAGGTACTCAATCATTTAATCTAACTCCCTAAACTCAATGCATTGAAAACTATGATAAATGACTAATTGATTCAAAACATCTATTGGTTCACAAACCCATGAGAACTGAAGCTATGCATAAACCTAATACATGTCTCAGTCATCATCATTGGTTGTTCTAATCACTAACAAGCTATCCATAGATTGACGCTAATAGCCACGAGATTCAAAACAAATCACCAAAGGTGTCACTACAGTCATTCAAATGTAGAAGTTGTTTTGCATGGAGCTCTCAAAATTTTAAAATTTGGGCAAACAACTAGGCTCTAAGCATTCAAAATCACACCAATCATTCACACACACAAGCATAATAGGCTACCCCTACACTTAAGCACGACATTTCCCTCAATAGTGTAAAATAAGGAGGTAGAATGATGTTACTGGATATGGTGTGAATGTTGTTGATCGGGAGAGGATGGCAGGTGAGATCCAAAAGATCAAGGAGACGGCAAAACACCACCAAAAGCTCTCAAAAGGTTGTCTTATTGAATCGAAGAGAAAACAAACCAAGTGGTAGTTAGGTTGCCTCCCAACAAAAGCTTCTTTGACATAGTGAGCCGGACGAATGCTCTTCATGTTTTAGTACAACCAAGAACTTCCTCGAAGTTGAGGTTCTCGTCGATGATGTGAAGTCTCAAGTCACGAACATTGGACGATTCCATGATTGAGAAATCGTGAATTGAATGGTCTTGGGGCTCCACCCACGAGACCTATTCTTCCTTCTTCTTGTTTCTCTTTGCCCCATACCATGTAATGCATCATTGATTGACCATCATCACATCCACCAAGAGGGATCGTCGATGGTTTGGCCTTGGCTTTGAAAAGATCACCTAATGGGTCCTTCTCCAAAAGTGCATCGAGGTCGGGTGGAAAGCTTTGGAAGCACTTGTAACTTGTTAAAGCTTCATCCACCACGACCTCGTCCTCATGTTGGACACCATTTGCTTCTTCAACTTCAACCTCAACCTTCCTTCATTCTCCAAACTTTGATTCCTCCTCTTGGGAACAACCAAAATCTTCATCTTCTTTGACGCTCATTTACTCCTCCAAAACCTCTTCTTTATCCTTCCCATTCATGTCTTCAAGTACGTTTTGGAGGGCAAGATGACATGCAAGATCATAGAAATGATTCTCTTGCTCTTCTACTGTCGTGACTTGATCTTTGAAGTTGTTATCGGGAAGGTGTACAATCAACATTTTTCCTCATCCTCACCACGGAGAGCTCTCCGATGTGAGTTTCTCTTGCTCCACACGGTTTTCATTGGTCGCCCTTTCAACCTCCTCTTTCTCCTCCAATGATGAGGGGCGATAGCTTTCACAAGCATGTGTCACCTTCTCTTCTAATGTCAAACCAAGAGGAGGTAGGGGTTGGAAATATGTGCTGGAGCATGCTCTTTCAAAATGTTCCATGGCAAGCTCCAATTTGGACTTCTCTTTGGGTTGTGGGAGATCCAAGTTCGAGCACCCTTCATCGGTATCTCGGCAAACCGATCCACATGAGCTCTAATTGGCTCTTAGGCTCCGGTTGTGGACTGGCACATGGTCTTGAGGAATGCCCCATGAAAACCTTTATTGCCAACTCCAACTTGGATTTCTCCTCGGGTTGTTGAGGGAAGGTACCAAACTTTACTCTGCAAATGAGTATATGTATAGGTACCAAACTTTACTCTGCAAATGAGTATATGTATAGACCCAAATCCATGGATTAAAACCTAACCTAACCCAATCCAAATAAATGACTATGGGAAGGTTGTCAACCCGCGGGTTGACCCGGACCCGGTTGAGCTAGTGGATCAAGGGTTAATGGGTCACCTGTTTTAGTCCGGAAATATGGAAAGCGTCATTATATTGTACTTATCCTAATAAATTATATCAAATCTCATCTAACATATGAGTTATAACATATAATATTACACCAAAATAACATTTCGTACTTAGATTCAACATATAGTGAAAATTCACACACACTTATATAACATTAATATTCAAATGTTCAACTTAGGATTCCAAAGATTGAGTTAGGCGAAAATAAAAAATGGAAAATAGGCGCATTTCGCAAAACAAAGAAAAAAATGACACAATTTGACCTCCAACCCGGTACCTTGTGGCGGTCGACCCGGCGGGTGCATGTGACCCGTTTTTCTCACCGGGTCAGGGTCAAAGTGGGTCAACCCGCGGGTCGACCCGCGGGTTGACAACCTTATGGGTACAAACCCATTAATATACCCATTTACCATCTATTTTGATTTCATAACCAACCCAATAGGGTTTGATAATAAAATACTTATGGGTATGGGCAAAATTGTCATCCCTAACAACGGTTGATGGCAGTCAGGGTCTGCCATAAAAAAACATATACGAACATGATAGACCTAGATCATGGTTGGGTCTTTGATCGAATTGCAGCAAGTTGAGCCCACCATGTTTCAGTATTAGATCCCTTCCACCAAAGGGTTGCATACGAGAAATTGATTATAATGTATGTTAATATAAATTATATCAAAACTCATGTAATGTATAGATAATAACATAATATTACACCAAATTAATAGTTTTTATTTGGATCCAATGTATATTAAAATTTCAAATACACTAATCCACCAAACTAATACCTTATCGGCTATGAAAGAAAACAAAAGTGCTAACTAGTGTCGTCAAAACCAACCCTGAAAATAATCTATATTAGCAAGAGATTTAAGCCTTATCGGATGACCGATAACTAACCATATAAAACCGGAGCATCCGCAACAGAACCACTACAAAACATGATGTGCCCCCTGCCCCAAATCAATTTTCTATTCTTCTTTCCCTTGAATGATACCTTTTGAAATATATTTTGCAATTGAGTATTGATATGGGCAACAAACTAGCACAGTGGCGAATAGCAAGACCATAGGAAAGAGTACCGAAGATGTATCGGAGTAATCGCTTTACACATTGTCAATGATAAGCAGTGGGATCATGCATGTACTGAGAGAGCTTTCTTTACATAGAAAGAAATATCAAGACGAGTATAAATAAGGTACTACAATTCCCCAAGAACTTGATGATACTGAGTAGAATATGTGAGAGAACTACCATCATGCAGAAATGAGAGTAGAGGAGGTAGCCAACGGGGTATCAACAGCCTTAGCATCAGTCATGAGAAAGCGATTGAGAATATCAACAATATACTTATGCTAAAAGAGGATGTAGCTCGCGGAAGTGGGAATGACCTCGATCCCCAAAAAGTAGTTGACATCATCTGGAGCCTTAAGAGAAAAGCGCTGAGAGAGAGCCTGCTGAAAGGTGTGAAGAGTAGTAGAATCGTTGCCAGTGAGAAGTAAGTCATGAACATATACTAGGTAAATATAGAAGAACCTTCCCACGAGAGTAGACAAAGAGAGAAGAATAAAAATGCGTCTTGGTGAAGCCAAACTCAAGAAGGAAAGTGCTCAAAACAGGAACCTGACAAAGACCATAGATAGCACGACGAAGGCAGCAAACATGAGTAGGCTAAGAGGCATCAACGACGCCCGAGGGCTGAACCATATACACCTGGTCCTGCAGAGGACCTTGGAGAAAGGCCTTAATAACATCCAACTAAGCAATAAACCATTTATGAGGGAGAGCTATGGGTGAGAAAAAGCCGCTTTTTAGGCCTGAAAATACCTTCTTGTGCACAGGTACGCATGGCATGCGTACGAACGGAAGGTGGCGGCGGCCCAGGAGGAGGCAGGGGCCCTAGATGGAGGAGTAGCAGGAGCAAACGAGGTGGTAGGACCTGATAAAGTGGGTCGCACAATGGAGGAAGGCCCAGCCAAGGAAGGATCCAACAGGGGAGTAGCATGCACAAAGGGGGAACTGTCTAGGGGAGGCCCAGACAGGGCACGTGATGCAGAGGATGGACAGGGATGAGCAGTAAGTGGCAAGAATGCTGAAGAATGGCCCGATACAGTAGTAATAGTGGGGGACAAATCCAATAACTAGGAAGCAAAGACAGGAAGTTTAGTGGGAGTAGTAGTGCTAAAGTCGGGAAACTCATGCTCAATAAAGACAACATGACATGAAAGAAAATACGGTGAGTATGAGGATCAAAACACTGTTAGGCACTGCATTGAGGCAGTGGCGGACCCAGAAATTTTCATAGGGGTGTCATCTTTTAAAAATAAATTAAATAAAAATAATTAATAATTAATAAAAATAAAATTGTAAATTTGCAAATACCTTACTCGTACATGTTAAAAAAGTCCATGATTTGTTTTCATATTCGGAAATAATTGTAGAATACACTTGGTGTCTATAGTGTTAAAAAAATTGTCTCTATATACCCTACTAGACAATCATTCACGAACTTATCGCATATTCGATTTGTAAACTTGTTCTCGATGTAACCCAAAACTGAATGACTCTTTCAATACTTGTCGTATTAAGGGTTGTTTGAAATTAGTTTAATTGTTAGGTTTTTAAAATAATTAGAGATAGAAAATGACATTTTACTATTACATTTTTCAAAATCGAACAACAAATGAGTTGTAGGTCAATGAAAATTAAGTTTATTAATAAGAATAGTGTTCTAGATTTAAATTGCCCAATCTACCAATTATATTCCTATACACAAATGACAGTAGGATAATCATGTTTTCAAATTTCAGGGGTGTCCCTCAGTATCAATTATATTTTTTTTGTCCATACGTAAATTACCACCTGGTTTGAATAATCGTATTCCCAAAATTTAGGGGTGTCCGGGGACACCCCTAAAACCCCCTGAGTCCGCCCCTGCACTGAGGACAATATCCGAGAAAAAGACACTAACGATAACGGGGTTCAAGTTTGTGAGAAGAATAGGGATGGAGCCAAGGATAACAAAGACAACCAAAAACACGATGTTTTCATTCTGCAAGCCCATTGTGTTCAGGAGTACGAGGAGGAGTAAGAAGATGAGTTATGAAATTGGTTAGGAGAGCAACACGCAATTTTTGGAATTCGCCGCCACCATGTACAAACGATGAATAGTAGTGGAGAAATAATTTTCAACCATTTTCCGAAAATCAAGAAAAACTTCGAGCACATCGGATTTGTTGCACAAAGGATAATACCAAGTACATCGAGTGAAATGATCAATAATAACCAAATAGTAGTGACTACCTCTGACTATCACAATAATATCACACCTAAGGTCCAAGTATAAACCTTAGATGGGTGCAATATAGGGCAAGTATGTTTAAATATCAACCTGGGTCGGTCCATGTACTGCTACTTCGATTGTTAGAAACATTATCTAGCGGATCAGTTTTAGTGAAAAGAAAAGGTTTAAAACTAAATTAATTTGAAAAGGTAAAATGGATTTGACTCTAGTTGAGAAAGCGTCACACAGGTGTTGTTCCCCCTAGCTAACAATTATGACTTGAAGAATCGACAACCAAGGTTACCCTCAGACTCTAGGTTGGGGAATGGGATACGATCCAAGCCACTAATGTGACCCTCTCAACCTATCGACTAAGGAATGGTTAGACTTCACCCACGAATTAAAGTTGAACGGCCACCCACAACCAAACCCTAAGGGTTTAATACTAATTAGGAGGTTTTCCCTTTAACTAAGCAAGACTAGTAGGCATAGACTGCCCAAGGAAACCCATCTCTAGTAGAGCCTCTTAATTAAATGAGGGCTCTCTCTAACCTAGCTTAGGAGGCATTGAATGCCCAAGGAAGCCCATATCAAATTGAGCCTCTTAGGTTAAGGAGGGTTCTCTCTAAACTAGTTTAGGAGGCTTTGAATGCCCAAGGAAACCAAACCTCTTGGGTAAAGGAGGTTTCCTCCCTAAAATAGCCTAGGAGGCATGAAATGCCCAAGAACCCCATCTCAATATTGAGCCTCTTAGCCTAAGGAAGTTGCCTCTCTAAACTAGCCTAGGAGGCATGAAATTCCCAAGAACACCCAATGAACCTCCTAACCTAAGGAGGTCTCCTCTCTAATCTAGGTTAGAATGGAAATTAGATTGATAGGCTTTCACACAACACAATCATTTCTGAATAATACCTCCACATTCACATTAAAACACAACCACACACAAATCATTCAATTCATATAAGCATTCACATAATTGTAGCTAGTTTAGAGGCTTCAAGTGAAAGAAGGCGTACTAAAAAATGAGGGGGCAGAGGCTTCAACTCCAACTCGGGAGGTTCCTCAAAGGAGGTAGAGATTTTAGGCATTGCGGGCAGGGTTTCCACCGCCTGATCTTGTAGGGGTTGGTCTTCTTCCTCTGGAGATTCTGCAATGTTCGTTCTTGCTAAACAACATTCCTCAAAAGGGTCAGAAGGGTAGGCACTTGCAGATGCGTGTGCCTCTATGAAATCAAAAACCACATCACAATAATCAACATCATCATGATGGTGAAACCACTTCATGCTATCGTCAGTAGAAAAGGTAACTTCTTCCTCCCCTGCCCTAAGCACTAACTTTCCCCCATGCACTTCAATCAAAGCCTTGGCGGTAGCTAAGAAAGGTATACCCAGGATTAAGGGGACATCAACATTATCGTCGATGTTTAGAATGACGAAATCGACCAGATAAATGAGAGGTCCCACCTTGATAAGTATGTCCTCAACAACACCCTTAGGTCGCACGATAGACCTATCCGCCAACTGAATATTCATCTTGGTAGTTCTAGGTTCACCTAGGTCTAAATTTTGAAACAATTTATAAGGCATCAAATTTATACTTGCTCCTAAATCCGCCAAAGAATTTCATAAGCACATGTTGCCAATAAAATAAGGGATAGTGAAACTGTCTGGATCTTTGCGCTTTGTGGATAGGTGGTTCTGCAGGATGGCAGAGCACTTTTCATTTAGGGTCTCTATAGCCGTCCCTTCCAGCTTCCTCTTGTTTGTGAGGAGGTCTTTCAAGTACTTTGCGCACTTGTGCATCTGGGTGAGGGCCTCTACGAAGGGGATGTTGAGGTGCAACTGATTCATTAACACCATGAAGTGGGAAATTCTGCCACCATGCGGTCATCGCGGAGTCAAGAGGGTAGTGAATAGCTAGAGTTACCATTTTCCCCCTCTGCTCCAGTGGAGGAATGAATCACCCTTCTCCCCTTCGTTTGCACTCGTGTACCCTTGTTGTTCGGGGACACTACCGGATCCATCTTGCTTTTCTGCGACGGGTGGCTTCTTCCTCAGGGGTAGTTCCTTTGCTTCCCCCCCACTTCGAAGAGTAACTGCTCTTACTCCCGATTCTTTGAGTTGTTTCTGGGCCCGAGCTGCTTGTGAGATAATCCCCACACTTGTGGTCAAGGTTGTCAAGAGGGATTGATGACTTTGCAACCCCACCTCTATGGTTGAGAATATCTCGGTCGCCTCCCCCATGAATATCTCAATTTTTTCAAACTTCTTCGAGCTGGAGGAGACAAAGGTGTTCACTAACTCTTCCAAACAAGACATCCGGTCGGTGTACGCAGGGGATATAGAGTTCAACTGCTCATAATGGGTCTTATCCTCGATCATCACTCGGCACTCGACCTCCTCATAGCCTGAGCCTGCACCCCTATCATATGGCACTAATGGATCCTTCTCATGCTTCTAGCTCTCAAGGATCACCTCAATCAACTTGTCAAGCTACGCTTCAAGTGGAGCACTTGCTCCCACACTTTGTACTCCTCGACCAGTGCTTCTCTTTCCATTTCTTGGCAAACCCCAATCATATCCCTTAAGAGCCATATCTTCGAGCAACTCGGTCACTTGAGGAGGGGTCATGTTCATCAACCTCCCTTGGAAAAGAGAGTCAATGAGGATCTTGTCATCTTGAATGATTCCTCCATAGAAAGTTTCTATCTGAAATTGCTCCTCGAATCCATGGTGAGGGCATTGGAGGAAGTAGTCGGAGAATCTTTCCCATGCATCCCTTAATGTATCATCCTCCTCTTGCCCAAAGTGAGTGATCTTCTTCCTCCACTAGATCGTCTTGGAAGGAGGAAAATATCGGGTCATGAACTTGTTGAGGAGATCGTCCCAAGAGGTGATGGATAGATTCGGTCAGTTGTTGGGCCATCGGAGTGCCTTCCCCGCCAAAGAATAGGGGAAGAGCTTCAATCTCAATGCCTCCTAGGGGACGCCATTAATCTTCAAGCTTCCCACTAGCTCAAGAAAACTTTGGACATGATCTCGTGGTGATTCATGGGATAGCCCGTGGAAGTAAGCATTTTGTTGAACCATCATCACGAGAGAGGGCTTGATCTCAAAGTTCTTGGCGGCCACGGGTGCATGCAAGATGGGAGATTGGATATCCGCCGCCTGTGGAGCCATGTAAAAGCCCATAGCCCTTGGCCCTTCCTTTGCTTCCGCTTCTCCATGTGGGTTTGGAAATAGATTAGCCCCTTGGTGTTGATTTGCCGCCATCTCAACTACAACTCCTTCTTCATTTACTTCAATTCTGGGATCAACTTGTTGTCCCCTTTATTCACTTCTCCTTCTTGCCTCTGCTTGCTCCCTCTTTCGAGCTAGAACTCAGAGGGTCCGGTTGATTTCCTCGTACAGTGGTGTTAAAGGTGCCAGATTTCTCCTGGTCATGCACCTCCCACACACACTCAAAGAACACAACAGTCTAGGATAGGCAAACACTTAACAACTTAATGATAACG